TTGAGGCAGTTCTGAAGGCAAAAGGGGGTCCAACCCGTTACTAGCGTGGTGTACCTAATAAAGTGGCCGGTGAGTGTATATATACACAAACATATCTTCATCAACCACACAATGGAGTTACGGAAGAAATGTGTTGTCATTAAATGAACACAACACATATCCTGAGTATTGTTTGTGTTCTCTGGATCAATATCTRCTCACAAATAATTTATACATTAATCATTAAAACCATGATTTTAAGTCATCTTCCTTCAATCACTTAGTACTTTTAGAAAAAATTTAAATCAGACCATCATGAGAAAAAGAGTCGATTTTCTTTCAAAAAAGGGTTTTATGGCTCAGGATCTGGTCCCTGCCAGTTTATAAAATAAATTAGATCGGACATCATGTGTACACAACAGATTCCAACATGTTGTTGTTTATTTAACACAAAGATAAAATGGAAAAACTGTGAGTGGAAAACCTACGTCCAGCTGTTCTAACATGATTTAAAAAGAAAGTATCAGCTAGTGATGGTGGGATGGAGAGAGAGATGGACCAAAGAACTGTTCTGTTGTTGTTCCGGTCTGTCGTCCACGTGCTTTCCACACCTTGCCTTGAACCATGACCACAAAAACAAGATCTAAAATGCTGTTTTACCTGGCAGTGCTGCTTCAGCTCTCTGCTTACTTCAGCCAGACCCTCCAGGGTCTTCACCTTACCCAGCTTGTCCCTCAGGTCCTGATAGATCTGCAGTCTGAACAAAATCACTGAATGACTAAATGAATCAGCTCTGCTACACACGTTAGGAGTGGCTGCTCTGTCAGCTGTTCTGTAGAAACAGGTTTTAGTGGGAAGCAGAGCAAAGCAACATGAGCAAATACAAGTTTTTTATAAAAAAAAAATTATAAATAAACTTGTGTTTATATAGTAAGTTTTCCAGACATTATGATGTCCCAGCTGAAGAGATTATATCACGGTGGTGAAAACTAACTGATTTTTACACAAGATTTAAGTTACTTGTTTGTAAAATGAGCCTAGATTTTAATTAGATTTTTGGTATTTTACCGTTTTTATTTCCTGCTTTTATTTTTTCTGTGTTTTTTGATTGAATTGGTTTTGAATAAGCCATGTTTGAATGTTGATTCTGTATAGCACTTTGGTCTGCTGTGGTGCATAAAGTGCTTTACAAATAAAGTTGGACTGGATTTGAGGTCTTAAAGGTTAGCATTAGACCACTTTATTATTAGGCAGCAAACTAAAATGTGAAAGAATCACTGAAATAAATCAAATCCTTGCTGCTTCACACTGGAGTGAATCTCTAATAAATCTAAAAGGTTTCCAAACTTTACTTTAAACAATCCTTTGTGTGCAAGTCTTAAAACTAAGGTTTAGATCAGGGCTCAGAAGGCCACTTCAGAGCCTTTTGGTTTGGTCCCTCCATATCCACCTCTCGCCAAACTTGGGGAAAAGACGGCGCAGAGCGAGGCTGAGCGCTGTGTGTGGTCCTCACAAAGACAGGAAGACGTGTGTGAGATTAGACGTGCAGCTCTGCTTTTAATCACGTTGCACCAATGCGACAGCTTTGCAAGCTACTTTTTCTTTCTTTAAAAGAAAATGCGACAGGTGAAGCTACAGCATGGTTACTACCTTATCAATAATTACTGCCTTTTTTCTTTCTCTGTGGGTGGGGGGTCAGCTTCACTCAGCTGCAGGTGAACACCTCCCGGGAACGCACACGTTTCCTGGACTATTTTCCACTGAGGATTACTCGTATTTTATTTTTATTATATTTCTAAAAGCACTTCACAGCATTTCCCCGTGTTTTCACGTCACGAGCGCAACAAAACCGGACGGATCAGCTGACTGTTTTTAAAGTGAGGGGCAGCGACTTTACAGCAGCTGCACCTGTCAGTCTGCAGCTCGGCTCCGACCAGCCCGGGACTGAAGAGTTCACACGTCAACCCCTTCAGACGTTTAACGTGTATAATGAGCATAAAAAAATCTGTAATTTGCTCAAAAAATCAGTATTAATCATGCGGATGGAGAAGAGGAGCGCTGACCGCAGCTGCGCGGGGTGGTGGGGAGGAGGAGGAGGGTCTTTTAAAGACGTGTCTACATTTGACTTTTATTTTTTCTAAAATCACAGAGTTCTCTGAGTCAGCTTCAGATGTTTGTAGTTAATCATAATATCTTCAAAATTTAACCAGGTGTTTCAATGCCTTTAAATTACACAATAATTTACTGGAGAAACTTGTCAGTTTGGTTAAAAAAAACAGTATTTTTTTTCTGTGCAGAGAACTTCCTCTGCTATAATTTATTTTAAATAAATATATCAAAGCTCCTCAGTTGAAAACACTAAAATTATTAGAAAAGATGTTTAAAAAAACTTCTTTCCTCAGAAAGTCTTCAGTCCTCCTGTCCTCCTTGTTCCTAATCAGGGTCAGGGTGGGGCTGGAACCTGTCCTCACTGCCTTTGGGTGAAGGCAGGGGACACCTGGACAGGTCTCCAGTTCACCAGAGACACCTGGACAGGTCTCCAGTCTCCATCAGGGACACAAAAGAGACAATCAACCATCCACACTCTGTCACACCTAGAGTCACACAGAAGAGCTCCAGAAGGTTTCAAACTGAGAACTCTGGACTCAGATCATCTGCTGCACACAGTTCTGATCACTTATCAATAATAATTTTATTGATAATTATCATGAGCAGTCCTTAACTAGGATTTAGTTGGGCAATTAAATATTCATGTATGTGTAAATTTATTACCATAATTGCAGGTGAGTCGTGTAAATTTATGTTTTTATAAAACAAGTAACCCCACCCCGCCAAGACCAATTTCTTAGGGGAAACACTGCATCTTATTCTGATTGTGGAAAACTGACCTGACTGCGCATGTCTTCTGACTTTCATCTAGCGGTTTTTGCTATTTTGTGGAGGGAGTTTCCAGCAGCACAGAACTTTGCCTCCAGTTTTCTGAAGGCCGCTTCGCAAAAAAAAAAAGTCTGTGCTTCACCTGTAGCTGAACAAGAGTGCAGTAACATGTCCACCATTATTAAAGCCTGTCGCAGGTCCATTCTGAGCTCAGAAGCTGGTTGTTTATGTTCATGACGAAAGTAGAACTTTTTTCTGTGTTTTTGTTTTTTTTTAGGGAAAGTTAACAACTGCACATCAGTGCTTCTATTCTGAATAAAAGCTTGGTGCATGTAAACACTCATGATCGGATTGTGCGCATGTAAACAATATATTCTGATTATTTAATCCGAATACATTTCAATCTGATCAAAGAATTTTGCGCAAGTAAACATAGCTACTTATTTCCAGCCAAAGAGTATTTTTCATCTTGTTTTGGGACGATATACTAAGCAGCAGAATGTGTTTGACTATTAATCTTGTTAGCATGGAAATGTTTTCCTCATTTCAAGTCTTACAAAGCCTAAATGTCTTACTCCACCGGCAGATTATTACAATTTGACAATCTGAGTCTGAACGCCAACTCAAATTGGTGTTCGGCGGCTCGCCTGGGTTTTTTTCTTTGCTGTTGTTGGGCGGCTTCTTCTTCCAGTTGGTGGACTGGGTATTGAAACTAGATATCGAAATTTAAAATTATACAAACGATTCAGGGAGAATTGAAACATTAGTCCTGGTTCCAATTGATACTCGAGACTCGATGCCCAATCCTACTCTGCAACACTAACTCCAGAAATCCCAAATTAACAAAAACAAAAGTTTTCCACCAGATCTTGTGGATATCAGAGATCTAACTTCATACACGCTCTGTCCTGTGCTAAAGCCAGTCAACAGGATCCCTCCAACAAAACCAGACCAAGAAATCAAACCTGAGAAGATACATACGTGTGATGCCAGAGCTTGAAGAGGTGGCCTCGTACGTAGGACAGCGAGCAGGGRGGATGCTGCTTCACTATCTCCAGATACTCCTCAGCCATTTCCCACACCGGGGGACTGCAGCCCTCAAACAGCGCTGGGTTATGGAGGTTCCCCTCTACAAACAATGCGACAAACACATGGGTTTCAAAGTCATCTGAAGCGCTGACAGCACATTTGATCCCCTTCGCTCTGACCTGCACTCATAACTCCCTGCACTCCTGTTTCCTGAATGCAGCGCTCCACATCACTCAGGTGTTGGATGTTGCCATTTGCAAACACTGGAATATTTACTGCCTTCCTGTAACAGAACCACACCAGAATAAAATGAAATGGAACGGACAATTATCGGGCCTCGTCCTTGTATCGACGTCATTAAACAGTAAAACAGAGAATCTGGCTCACCGTACGGCTGTGATGTGCTCCCAGCTGGCGATACCCGTCAACGCACCTTTCTGCTCTTTGGTTCGGCCGTGCACCGTCAGCAACTGGAGAAGTTCACCAAACCAACACTTCAGACTTCAGATTGTTTTTACATTTATTTTACAGAGCCAAATAACTGGTGGATTTTCAGTGCTGTGAAAACTAACCAAATCCCCTGACAGGTGTCTACTGCTTTACAAACCAACATGGCCTCATGTCAAACAGTGATCAACCTCCTTGTTAAATCAAAGGTTCAAAGTGTTTGTTTCAGAGAATGATTAAAATAAGTTTGTTAAAGAAATATGAAACTGTTTAATGT